GGGGGGGGGCAACATGCTATTTTGTGCTGCTTTACCCTGTGAAAGACAGAGGCGCCCGCTTTCTCTCTCTCACTCTCCGAACGCACTATGGGCGTCGGTCAATGACATGCATCTGTATCAAACACAGAAACCGCTTGCATAAGGTTATGTGAAGTTTCCACTGTACATGTTGTCCAGAGGGTCAAGTGTGTCCACCCCTTGGCCTCCCCATCTGGGGGGCACGTGGACTAGAAAATATTGGTTGCTGTTGTTCCGCCAGTTTTATAGTCAAATAGATGAATGATATATTTTCGGTGTTCGGTCGGCAGCGAAAGAGCAGCCGATGCTACTGACTGAAGCACACCCTTCAATTTGAGGCGGGAGGCACGGATGCAAAGAGAGAATATCGCACCTGCTGCGTTGGTCATGGTTGTCTCCACCTTGCCCAGCGCCGTAACCCTGTGCCACCTGCTGCCACCACAACAGGAGTTCCATACCCGGGGGGAGAGTAAACAATGCAATGGAAAATCAGGCGGAAGAGGCAAATGATTCGCAGGTCTGCTTATAAGCACAGGTGGCTGTGAGGCTAAGCTGCTGCGAGCGCATTGCAACGCATCCTGCGCAAGGTACAGCAGTTCATACTTGGGCTGATGTTGTTGCGCCCTATTTCCTGCCCTGCTGTCTGCTATACTCCTTTATGTATGTCCTTTGTATTGCCTTCGGCCTCTGTGCTGTGTTTCTTTTTTTCATGACCTCCCTGCCTACTCTGCTGTGTTGGGTACCTTGATCTCGCTTTGCTGTTGCCTTTGTTTTTGTACGTCTGGCTGTCTGACCATCTGCCGCCTCTTTGCCCTGTTTGCTCCGTTACTCCCATGCCCTGGTGCGTGGTGCCTGGTGCTGGTACGTTACCCTTTGATTTTTTCTTTGGGCGGGTGTGGTAAGCGTCCTCCTTTATTTTTGTTTTGTTTTGTTTTGATAGGTGTTCGAGGGCTCTTTTCTCGAACGGTCGGTGCGGTAGCTGTTCTTTTCTTTCTATCATTTTGTTTTCTTTTTCCGAGTGGTTTTTACCCTATTTTTCTATTTTTGTTTTTTTTTGTTTTCTCGCGGGGTCGTATGTGCCGGGTTTTGAGACCACGGGCTCCCCATTTTTTGTGGATTATAGAGCTAATGTGAGAAACAACAACAGCAACAACAACAACTTGTACCCGGGTACACAAATGCAGCGTACTACAACACGGGCGCTTCTGCATTCTTAACGAGCCATTTCAAAGATCGCTAAGATCACACACCCTGAAGAACGCGATTGCAGGTGGTGTCCACCATGCCCACCGCTGCAACGCCCTGCTCCTGCGGACGAGACCAAGGCATCCCCCGTTGTCGTGCAGAAGGCGAGCGCGCTCAATGCTGCAGGAAGACACATCCTGAAGGCCGACATCCTCCCCATCAACCGGCACCAGCGGGTCGGAAGGGAGGAGAGAGAGAAAGAGAAGGACAGACTGCGTGATAGACGGCCTGGATACAGGCTTTGGGGTACATTGTGCGGTCTGGGGCAAAGGTTCCAGTCATGCGGTCCAATGAGTTCCCCAGTTCCCCAGTCATGCGGTCCAATCAATTCCCCGAATGGACACAATCATGGCCAACATCGACGCCACACACGCCCACACAGACAGCTGTCAAGAGCGTACACGCGTCTATGTATGCGCCACACACCTTTCCCTTTGTGGAGTATGCGAGAGATCACGCGGACACCCGGGAAGGAATCCTCGTTGTGGTTTTAGCCCTGCGCGTTGGTCTTCAACGTTGAAATGCAACGCGTGTTGCCGAGTTCGAGCGGCTTTTTCCAAGGGGGGAAGGGGGGGGATCGTTCAAAAATCACCACCTGGCCAAACCTGGCTGGTGCCTGGGGGTGCCTGGTGGTGCCACCACCAGTTTTGCTCGTCAGCAAGGGGTACAATAGTGATTGGGCAGTGCAGTGGGCAGTGCAGTCGAAATGGGTTTTTCGTGTTGTCGTGTCTAGCGGTAACGACGGGAACTGCAGTATTTAGATCGAGACAACGAACAACGTATGCAGTTGGAGAGGGAACTTGTACACTGCTGTGTAACGCAGACTTTGCTGCTGCGCAGCAAATACTTTTCAAACACAGACTATTGTGAGGGTTGTATCAAACCGCCGTACCCAGAAAACAAAGTACACCAATCCCGACAGGTTCGTACGTCCACTTTGCATATAGCACATGTCGAGATGAAAACGGCAAGTTTTGATCGTAGCATCATGGTAGAAGGGAAGTGCTGACTGCGTCTGTCTGCACATTCCACCTATCTCGTGTAAGGGTATGGCGGCAGGTACAACCTGCTCGGGACATCGGTGTCTTCCTCTTTGGAATGCAAACTGCAGAAAAGATGGGGCGCGGCTGATGTTCGGCTCATCAGCCTTGATTCAACTCATCATCATGATCACCGAATGGACCAAAATCACGTACGAAAGGACTGGCGAGATGGGACACCGCGCGCAATGCAGCAGTGCCCCTCTAAGTCTCTGGATCGTTGTTGAGCTGAGAGCTACCAGCGGTAGTGGTGCTCAGAAGCACCGCGAGACACCCAAATCCCAGGCAGGGCGGTGAGGCTGCCTGCGACGGAGGGAGACAGAGCGTGATCTTTGGTGTTTCAGGTGCGAGGCGATTACTCTTGTTCTGCCCTAATAGCAGTCTATGGCCCGCTTCCAGGCGAAAACGTTCCCTCTGTAGACTAGTCTTCATACTGAGTAGTCCGTCTGGGCCTCTGATGTCACACGAGCAGCATCCCACTTCAAAAAGGCGACTTCTGTAGAACAAGGAAACGTTAAAGCTGGGCAGAGGCGAGTGTGCAGAACAGGCTAATCGACTGTGCACTGATACGGGCGAGGCGCTCTCGATTGCCCCAGACTCCGCAGAAAGACGAAAGTAACACGTGAACAACTTTTCGCGAACAAATAGGAATCTTGATGACCAGACGGAGGCGACCCTCTGTTTTTCGGGGTTGTGTTCAGGTCACACGCAGCATCATGCCAAGAGAAAGTCGCGCCAATTGTTTTCCATCCTGTAGGTGAAGGGTTACGGATTTTCATTCCAGGTAGTTTGTACAACATACGGAGGCAACGCAAAAAGAACAAATCAACGCAGCACCCCCGCATCCTGGTCTGTTTCCGAACGTTGGAAACACCAGCCCACAAATAATAGTGATCGGCGTGCCTGCAGGTATTCGCTGAAAAATGACCACACTATCAGAATGACGATACGTACCACACGTACGTACCCGGTCAGGGTGCGGCGCGCGTATTGGACATTCGTTCAACCCGACACGCCCACGTGCCCATGTACTTCGCGTGCACATGCATAAATCAAACGACAACCCAACGGGCCACAATAAGCCAGCAACATAGCTTTCGTAGGGCTCGGCGGTATTTCCTAAAGATTGGCATCAAATCCACGCCGGAAAGGTTGACGCGTGACGTGAGGTGTATTCCAGTATTTTCCAGTGGCAGCGACTACTTCCAACTGCAGGTGGGTGCCGGTGATGATTACGTATTTAGTGCACCCATTTGTGCGCAGAAAACGTTACTATTCATTGCGCCGTACGCGAACCTGACCACTTTTGCTTTGAATAAGTAGCGCATACTACACCGGAAACATCTCAACGGCTCACGAACCCTAACAACGCGGGCCCAAAACTACACGGAACGGCCTTTACTAATGGCTGGCGTGATCGATCCTTTACGCGTGGCTGCTAGCATGAATAGGGTATATCTTATTGTAAATTGGATGTGGGTCGGTCAGGAGGTATACCCTTCTGACCCCTGCCCCCTTGGGATTGTCTACTCTGTGTACCCCCTGAGATGAAGCTGGATCCCCACTTCACCTCAGACCCTTGCTGATCGTCTCTCAGCAACAACAAACAACTTTCCCATCTCAACGTGGTCGTGGACAAGTGTGTCAACGACAGAACCTTCATCTATCTCTAGGAGCAAGCTACCGCCCACGGCTTCACCTCCTTTAAACTTGGCGTCAGCTGGCATTACACGGTAAGCGGGTGCTGGACGCGGCTTCCACACTGCTGTGTGTTGTTGCCACGCTTTCTTCACAACCACTGGGTTGCTTGCTGTTTGGTCTCACTACCCACGAGAATCTAGACTTCGCCTCTTCTCTGCTTCTTCTCCTGTAAAGATGCTGGCTTGCGACGCTTTTGCTAAGCGCCCGCTGGACTGGGACCTTGCGAAGGATACGCGCCTCGGCGGTCATCGCGATGTTTTGGGCGATTTTTCCTACGTTCGCCGTCCCTCAAAAGCTATTTTGTCTGCATCGGCGGTCAATGAAGTTTTGTCTATGGCGGATACGCTCTGGATGCAGCGACATGCGTTGCTGGTCTTGTGTAGTGGGACTTGAGATGACAGCATGCTTCCCACGTCTGCTACCACCTCTACTGCATTCATGCCAGCGTACCGGCCGATGTCCGAGGATTAACCTGTTGTGCTCTCCGATTTGACTCCGCTTGCCTCGACGTGGAGCGCGTTGCGTGCACACAAATTGGGTGTCAGCCGTCCCACCAGCCTTCCCTCCATTTTTCGAAATCACGTGGCACTTTTTGGGGGGAATCGTTCACCCTCAAAGCATTTGAATTGGAAACCTTCCAACAGCGCAAACCCACAGCGGTCGTTGCTCGCACTTCGGCACCAGTTGCGGAGGAACGCCGTGCTGCTCTGCGTGTCTTTTGGTCGGAAAATCTCGTGTCCCCATCTAACACGGGTCCTTTTTGCTAGCTTCTACTGCTGTTTGTGCGTGGCATGGTGTGCTTTGGGACACTTTTCTGCTTGGTTGGATCCGCTTCAACCTCATGCGCACCAAGCTTTTATCACCGGGCGAATGCTATCCTGTGGGTATCTCCGCCTTTCGCATGGACCTCGGCTTGCTTTTCCCGAGGTTGCACCCCGCTTTACTGCTTCTGCTGCCCTTGGTTCTGCTGCCTCTGCTGCGGATGGTTGTGCTACACCTGCTGTCTCTGGCCCTACTGCCCTTCCCACAATCGATCGTAGCTACCCCCTCTCTGGCCCTGTCGCTGTTAAACAAGAGGAAAACATGTCCAGCGGCAATGTTGAACTCCTGGACTACGAACCAGAGGGAGAGGACCCCACCGCACAACAGTTTCCGGAGGCCGGTGCGGGAGACGAGTGCTGCCCCACACCCAGCGCGTTCACCGTCGATGATTTACTGGACAACATCGCCACGGCGGATCCGGCGGACCTGGAGGAGGCCTATAACGCAGGACGTGGCTTTCTGGAGGATATCGCCGGGGCGGCCCGTCCGTCGTCCGATTCCCCCCTTTTCGTTCCTCCTTTCTCGCTCCCCTCGGAAGACAAATTGATCCTCTTACCCCACAATGACTTTATTGCTTACCAAAGGTTGAACGAGATGTGGTGCAACAGTCTTGCCGGGAAGATAGCAGAGGCGGAGGCGGGGGAGCAGGCGAAGCGCGAGGACGCGGAGCGCGTGGCGGAGCGTGAGGCTGCTCTGGCTGCTGCTGCGAGGAAGTAGGAGGAGGAACGTGAGGCTGCCCTGGTTGCTGCTGCGAGGAAACAGGAGGAGGAGCGTGCGGCTGCTCTGGCGGCAGCTCGGAAGCAGGAGGAGGATCGTAAAGCTGGAGCGCGAGGCGTACGTCCAAGCTGCTCTGGCGAAGCAAAGGGCGCTCCGATCACGGCTCGAGTTCCGCCCACATGGCCCGCACGCAGCGACCTTGCCCTCGCCCTCTCCCCACCGTCGTGTTGTTGCCCCTCCCCAATCACAGTCACAGCGCGCTTCGGTGACTCTTGGTTCCCGCAGTCACACCTCGGCGAAGGAGAAGGGGCGAGAGGCGGCGGCTACAGTGCCGGAAAGTGTGAGCCCGAATACGGGTGCTTTGAAAAAAAAAATAACCTTCTTCAACGAATTGAGCGGAACCAAAATATTCGTGAGAAAGCTCTCGCCAGCAGCGATCGAATAAGACTATCCACAGCGCGGGGTTTTCGTTTTTGAGAAAGATATGGCTCCATTACCATCAATGCAGAAGGCACTTCATCCCACAAGAATCGCCATATCTCGATAACTACGGCGAACCCCGCGAAAAAAATTGCAGATTTGAAAAGCTCTCTTTCAGAAGTATTTTACTGCGGCGGAATCATCCCCGAGCGTGGTGAAGAAGAACTTAAAAAAAATCAGAACCAACATTTTCAAATTTTTCGCCCACATCAGCCCCAACGGCTGCCACACATGAAGAATTCGCGGTCCACGCCCATGGCTTTTAAGCTGCGCGACAAGCCTTTGGCGACCATACTAGCAACCTTGGCTCAACGTGGTGGTGAGCTGGTCAGTGTGCGTCAGGAGAAGAGTCCAAAGAAGTATCGTGTGGAACTGACGGCGCACGTGCATGGATCCGAACAGCGCTGGTGCAGCCCATACATCAAGTGTCCGAAAGGCAGAAACACGGGTCGCGACTGGGCGGCCGAGGACCGGTTTGCTGCTACCTGGCGGCCATCCTTCTCTAGCGGCAACGTTCCCCACACTGATGCAAGTGCAGGCGAAGCCGAAGCTGCGCCTCCCCGAGAAAAGCGGCCGCGGGACTGTCGGCATGCTGCGGCATCCACGGAGGACGCACCGGCTGCAAAGGTCGGCGGAGCACGCCCTGGATCAGGCAGGCCAAAGGGAAGCTACGGCTGGAAGAGGGTTCGCGAGGCTGCGCAACAGCTCAATGATTATATCGAGCGAGGACAGCCCCATTGTGCGCTGATAGCCTCGCGCGATCTTCCTGGAGATATGTTGGACGCAGTGAAGGAGGTGCACCAGCACCAAGAGGTCTGGGGACCAGCGTTCCTCAAGCGCCAGAGCAACAGGGGTGTGGGCAGGAAGGAGGCTCTTCGCAAGCTGGCGAAGCATCGATCGCAGCTGGAAAAGGCCGCCGCAGCATCCGCTGCATGTAGATCGGGCTGGGAGCGGGGACAGGACTATTTCCGCGCCGTCATCAAGGAATGCCAATCCGCTGTGGCAGCCACGTCTGCTGGACTCAATGTAAGAGATGTTGGTGCCACAATGTACACGATACAGTGTAATGTTTGCATACGATGATTGTAGTTTTCCTCCTGCAAGACTGCTGTTGGTTGTGGTGCTATGTGGTTGTCGCAATGCTGCTGCTGTTGCTGCTGCTGCCGTATATATTTGATGCGATGCAGCCCATGTACATGTAGGTGAAGTTTCGCGTTACTGTTGGGCCGCAAGAACCACTCTGCCCCCACCCTCCTCTTTCTTCCCCGCTGCTTGTCCCGATCATCTTACCATGTTTTTGCTCCCTTTCCTACCTTACGTACATGCAGGAGTCTGTTCTCGTCTCGCACGCGCAAGCCGGCAGCCTGCAGTTCAAGGCCTTGGCTCTGAAAGCAGTGTACCACAAGCTGCTCAAGGGGGCGCCCAAGAGGCAAGCTTTCGAGGACACCGCGGAGTTTTTTGAAGTGGCGGACAGCACCCTCCGTGAGTGGGAGCTTTCCTACCGCACCAAGGGCCATATCCAGGTGAGAGGAGATATGTTCCATCCGTTTTAACCCGCAATAAAAGATGCGCGTGCCGTAGACTTTAGACTATGTGGCGATGAAAATAAAAGTACTGCTGTGTAGCTCAACAAACTCGCCGGCCGTTGCTGTGAAAGATACTCCCTCCTGTAACGCATGCGCTGTTGCTCTCTCTCCATCCCGCACCCGTGCATGCTTTTAAGCCACCCTTTCCCTTTTTCTCGACAATGCGGTGTTCTTTTTCGTGTGCAACCTTATGTATTTGAAGATGGACCAGAAGGGGAAACACGAACGGCCGCAACTCGCATGAACGCTGGGTACGGGGGGGTGAGGAAGGGTGCCCAGCTAGCTGCCCAGAACGCTACCACCCTGCTGGCAGACACGCCCAAGCTCAAGAAAGGGACGGTGCAGCACCTCACCTTTCAGGAGGGCGAGTGTCCTTTCTACGACCCGGATGCCACCGATCACATTGGCAAGGTCAAGGGGCTAAAGCAAATCCTGTTTGAGAGGGGGCTCTGGAATGCGGACATGAGCATGAAAGGGATCAGGAAAGGCCAACAGGAGTATGACCCAGCGTTGTGTATGCCGGCGGTGTTGGGTGCGCAGGAGGACTTCGCGAACGTCGAGCCTAGCCTAATGGTGTTGGTGAAGCGCCATGGAGGAGTAGCAATTATGCTCCCCAAGTTCCACTGCGAGATCAACCCGATAGAGCTTGTGTGGGGTAGATCCAAGTATTGGGTCCGGAAGCACTGCAAGTACACCATCGCGTGCCTGCGGACCAACGTTTCTAAGAGCTACGCGGTGGCCGAAGACCGCCTGAGTCTAGCGATTGTGCAAAAGTTCTGCAGGACGGTGGCCAACTTCAACGAGGTGTACCGCGACGGACTCAAGGGCGCGGAAGCAGTACAGAAGAGGGACACCTTCAAGTCTCACCGCAAGCCGGCTCCGTCAGAGTACATTAATCCCAAGTGATGTACACGTTATTCTGTATTGTGGTGTTGAAGCGTACGTACGTAAGATGTCCATATGGGTGGTGTGTTGTTGTCAGTGGCGTTGTTTCAGTGCATGGTGTAATGTTTTGTTCCCCCTTTTCGTTGTCGGGTTTTCGATTATCTTGACGGGTTTTCTGTGTGCTACAGTATGTATTGCTGTGCGTATAACGTGCAGTAGTGGCAAAAGTGGGGAGTGCAACGTGTGTGGGTACCGTGGTGTCATTGTACAGAAGGGCCTCCGGTCGATTGAAGCAATCAAGCATACACGAGAAACAAGCCGGTGCGCATGGCCCAAACTTCCTGTCCCGCCCCAGGAAGGCGCCATATACACATACCAAGATGTTTTTTTTTTTTTTTCATGAGTATCTTCGTTCTTCTCTACTCAAGCCCCGCCGATACAATGAAAAAAAAAAGAGGTACAGGGTGTTTTGAGTTCGTGGTTGCCGAAATATTAGATCAAAATTTATCATCCCCCCCCCCCCGAAATGCCTTAAAAATCCTATACGAAAACCACAAAATTCCAGGAACGCCTCAAATCGATTTGGTCCCTGAACAACTCTTGTGGCAAATAGGATGTAGATCACTACTAAAAAAAAAAAATTGAAAAAAGTGAAAAACTCGTGAAGTTATGGCCGGTCAATCAAAATCGGTCTCAAACTTTCCGGCACTGTACTCCGGAGTTTCGGTGACGTTGGGCAGTCCGGCCGGTGGTGAAGACGGGGCATCGACTGCGACTGTCGCCACGGGGTACGAGTTCCATGTGGGCGACACAGCGTTCCTGTCCCGCCCACTGGAGATGCCAGCCGAACACGTAACTTTTCACGATGAGGATAAACTGGAAGCTCTCTTTGCATGGGCTGGCGTCAAGCAACTCGTTAATGCTCAATGTCCCCACTCCCACACCGGTGCTTACGTCATACGCAGCTGTCATCCGTACGCAAGGAAGTAAGCCTAAGATGCCGAACACCCTTAGCAGGATGCAGCGCACCCTTCATGCTGTCTCTTATACACATCTAGATGTGTATAAGAGACAGGGNGGATGCGAGGTCAATGGTCTAACGACTACGGCATGCACGACTATGAGTACAACCCCCCACACCGATGCATTCGGGCACATTTATTCTGGCCCCTGCATCGCGAAACTTCCGCCTTCTCCTCGGCAGTCCGTGTTCCGGCTTTTGTTCGCTCTCCGTCGTGCCACCTTTCGTAGCGGTCCTCAAGGAACGTCGATGGTGGCCCACGATGGTGACCCCCAGCGCCTCTTGCTCGTGCGGCCTCGACCACTGATTTCAAGCACGATGTGCAGGCCTCCCGTCCGGCCTCTTCACGCTCTGCCATGTTCCTGGAGGGGACAAGGACTACGGTAGGTCGGCGGCTCCTGCGTCTGAGAGCTGGAAGGATCGTTGGGATGACCAAGATTCGACGGCCAAGAGCGGGACGAACGACCACCGCCGCTCCACCCAGTCTTCGCGAGGGCGCGGCACCGGAGATGGCGGGCGAGGGCAAGCCGCGGGGAACCAGCCTACCAGGTCTTCGCCGGCGAGCTGCCACCGCCGGAGCAGGAGTCGGAGCGCAGAACGTCACCAGCGCACCAAGCCTTCGTCTAGGCGTGGTCGCAGCCGGAGCGGAGACCGTCGTGGGAGCAACACGCCTTCGTCTAGGCGAAGCCGCAGCCGGAGCCAAAATCGGAACCGGGCAATAGCAGGGCGATCAGCACTGACAGCGGTCGCGACGGAAAAGGGGGACGGAAGTCAGGCCACGGTAACAGGCAAGTGATGCATGATCGGGGTGATTTTCGTAGCTCTGGGTTGTTGGGGGAAAACAACGATGCTTCAGAAGACGGTTCCCTCCGTTCTTCACCGCTTGTTCTACGCCCGCCCGCTGATGTAGGCCAACCGACCATGTCTTCTTTGGCGTTCAAACTTGCAAACATGCAACTTCGTGACCACTCAGCCGCTGTGAAAAGCCATGCCCCTGCCCATGCCGTTGTGGATCATCCCACATCTTCCTTGCCTTTGGACGAACGTGTTGAGTCGCCACGCAATGCTGCATCACACGCCTCGACTTCGGCTTCCCGTACTGAAATGCTGTTGGAACAAGTACTCACTCTCCTGCGAGCAAATCGACTTGTGGATGCCGCTGCCGATACGAATGTACAACCTCCGGTGCCCTCCCACGCTCCTAGCGTGCCACCACCTGCCCCATCTCTTTCGCCACGAACGCATCTGACACCGCAGCAAGATTATGCTTCGAGTTTTCCGGGAGGTCATGTAGGGCGCGATGTTCGTGCAGAGGCCGCTGCAAGGGCCACGTCAGGATCATCGTCATCAGCCACGATGTCGGCGACAGTACCCGTCGGACCTGCGGTGGTATGTCGGCAGCCCCAGCCCTGTTGCCCCCCCCCTCCCCCGGATGGGTTTTCGTCGCTTGGCAACGACCTTGTAAAACAAGCCGCCCCCCTCGGTGTTTGCCATCGGTGTTGGGTTTTCGTCGCTTGGCAACGACGTTG